TCTCCCAATTTGCTATGAATTACTAACTTCGTCTTCTCGATCAGCATGTTTTGGATGTCCAAATGTGTAATATGCTGACTGAACTTGTTTTCCATAGCACTCATTCTAGATTTGGATAACTCTACAGAAACTCCATTGACACATTCGACACCAGAAACACCATTATGTTCCTTGCATACCCCTCCATTATCATTCCCAACATCATCACCATTGCCCCTTCTTCTTTTGTTCGGTAAACTATCACTGGAAGCAGCATTGCGCTTGACAGAAGCAATAATGTTTCTTTTCATGGCACTATTCTTCCTGTGAAAAGCCTCTGCTCTTCTGGCTGCAGCTTGTGCCTCTTCACGCTCTCTCCTGACTTTCTCATATGTTTGATGGACAACATTTGCAGCCTGTGCAGCAGCAGTTGATGAAGCAGTTGCACTTGCAACTCCTGCTGTTCTGGAAAAAACGCCCCACTGGAAGTTTTGGTTATTATATGAACCCAGATTTGCTCCATGTTGAAATACAGAAGCTCTCATGCCTGAAAAGTTAGAGTTATTTCTCCCAGGACCATACACATTTTTGGTGTTATGGCTCGAATTCTGGTGAAACTGCCGAGATGCAGCCCAAGAAAAACTAGGTCGACTTGTGGGAAGCACGGTCTCCGATGCTATGAAAGGTTCATGACAATTTGGGCAAAGAAGCTTGTGATTGAGATACAGACGGAGATATTCATACTGCATCTTGCAGCGGTTGCAAGATGTCCAGAATGTATTGGATTTTGGCAGCTGAGATGAAGGATGGGCTGTAGCTCGAGCTGCATTACTGCTATTCTTTGGGCCTCGTACCCTTGATGCAGCACTCTTGGCAAAATTATGGAAGCCATTGCTGGTCTTAGGAATAGTGCAATTTTTGGCCTGAGAGTACCTCTGACAGTATCCTTTAACATTAATCTTCTGGTCATAGATCATTCTCCTTGACTTATCTGACAGTACAGCCCATGCCTCTGAAATAAGCTTAAAGGCACCTTCAGCACCAATCGACTTGTTCTTGTCAGGATGAAGCTGGAGAGCCAACTTCCTGTACTGTTTCTTCAATGTGTCTTCGTCTGCTGAGGGATTTAAAGATAGGACTGCGTACCAGTTCATCTCGCCAAACACTTTGCTCTCCGAAGCCAGATAAACATCTAACGTTGCTATCATTTGACTGATGCCCTCCAATGCAGGAAAGAGATTCTGTGCCTTGGTGGCAAATTTCTTGGCACCTGATACATCCTCGGCCATGAACTTTCGTTCGGCTATCTCTTTCGCTCTGAAGGCCTCATCTTTATTGCATTCCATTCTGGAAACTTCTTTACCTGACGCAAACCTTCCTCCCTATTAAATCTCACCACCTAAGGCCAATTAAAACGTAGTGTTCAGCTCCATAGCAGCTAGAAAACATTCCTTAAGAACATACTCTCCTCCGCCTGAACAAAAGGCAAACAATGAGAAACACAACTGAAAAGCACGAACACAGCATCGCAGGATTTTCAACCATGAAGTCCTACTGCCCGCCAACATTCATCCTAAATTTAACAAAACGAAGCCAAAAATTTTATCAAAATTCAATTTTTAATTTATTTTTAACAACATTGTTGCCGCTAGGAGGACGTGCACGAACCCCAAATCCACTGACATTACGAAGAATTTAAAGATTTTGAGTTGAACCATCTTCGTGCCTACCAGAACCCTAGCGTCGACAAAACTCCATACTCCCAAAACACCACAGTCAAACATGGAAACAACCGTCAAGTACAAAGCAGAGGAGCGAAGGCAAAAGCTTCAAAAAGAATCCGACAAAAGGCTTAAAGAGCAACGCAATGGTCAGAGCCTAGGGTTCTGGAAGCACGGAGCAGCGATCACTCAGTAATCGGTTCTCCCAGAAGGTGGGACACAGAAACCCTAGCCAGCTCAATCTCCGGCCACCGGGCGCGGCCGGAAGCAAAATTTGGATCAAAAGCGAACTGCAGTGGAGCAGAAGCGACCGAGACGTTACCCGCTTGGAGAACTCCCATTAATCCACGGGAATTTGAATTGCGAGGGCTGAATGAAAGCAAAGCAAGCACTTCTCCTATTCTTCCCCCAAGTCGAAAATTGAAATACCAACATGCCCAAGAAGAGCAAAGGGAAGAGGAAGAGGCATTTCCTAACTCAACCCCAACTGAAGTTAAATATTAACCCTAGTTGTGAAGAAAAGGAAGATTCTAGAGAAACATTTAATAGGTATCTATTTTTAATGATAAATAAAGTTGAAGTGCATCTATTTTCTATTTTAGTATTTAATTTTAACGAAATGAAACACTTAATACTCATTTCAAGCACAAAATAATATTTACTTTAATTATTAAGCATATCCTATAAATAGGTCAAAAGTGATAAGCAGATAATATTTCCTCAAGGCAGTTGAGGAAATCTCTCAGCAGTTGAGAAAAATCCTCCATGTATAACCTCCCTACTGAGTGTGTATAAATGGCTGTCAAGAACTCACTATCAAAATGTATTAGGCAATTATATCTTATACATTTCATAGTTTCTTCTATAATTTCTATCTTCTTCGCTTAATTTCTATCATGGTATCAGAGCAGTTTGCCTAGAGCAAGCCCTCTTCTCCGGAGTCCAACCATCCCTCTCGTGGCGACGCCTCCGCCCCTCAGCCGTAGCCATTCGCTGTAGCCTACTGCAGCACTTGCGGCTGCTAATATCAGATCCTAAAGGAAGCACAGTCACGGCCTTTGTTTCTACCGCCGGCTGCTGCTCCCTTGCCAACCGAAGTCTTCCGCTGAAAACTCCGTTGCTCTTCCGGCCACCAAACTCCAATACTGCATTACTGCAACTATCTCCAACCTTGCAGATTTCTCCGGCATCGCTGCAGAAATCGCTGCAAGCTGCAGAGATTTCTTCCACCTCGCTGCAACAATCTCTCCTGCACTTTGAATCGCTGCAGCCTACCAGTGCCTCTGGAAGAAGCAGCAGCCCTCTTCGGCACCGATCCCAGGTCAACTAAGCGTGATTCGACCGTGGCGGTAACGTTAAGCGTAAATTGGGTTGGAAGAAAGGGCGTCAAGGACGTGATGTCTCGTTCCATATCACGCAGGTTGAGGCGTCAGCTCATTACTCTCCTCTCTCTGCAAGAATTACATGGCTTTGATTCCACTCTCCCTCCTCCTCGCTTGCTTCATCTTCTTTTTCTTCTTCTTCTTCTTCTTCTTCTTCTTCTTCTTCTTTGATTCCACTCTCCCTCCTCCACCATTTTGGTCACATGTTTTCCACGTGGGAACAAACCTTGAGCCTCACTCACCCTTGTAATTCTAGCTGGAGTTGAAAGCTCTTTATGGATGCCTATTTCCATCCTTGATGATAATAATTGGTTGTTTGAGAATCCTAATTTTTCTCTTGAAGATGTTCAAACATCTTATATCAATGATTATTCCTCTCATTTTGATATTAATATTTATAACAAAATTATTAGAATTATTATATCAATGATTACTTTTCTTTGGAACATAACTTTTTCAAGCACCTTTTTAAGGAAAATTCTACAATCTTTTTTGAAAATATCTTAACATTCCATTTCAGCATAGAAATGAGTGATGGAGGATGACTAAAAAATAATAATAATAATAAAAAGATACATATATTTTAAATTAAATGATATATATGGAGTCAATGAAAAGCTATTAATAAGGTCAAATTTAACTATGCTAAACCATTGATCTTACTTATTCTTAGGTTGAAGCTTCCTCCTATGAAGGGTCGAATGAGGTTAGGTATGCTCCTATCAAATAGGGTAAGCCTAATTTAGGTTGGGTTAGGCTGAATATTGATATATTTTATAATTATATTTAAAGTGGCTTATTCATGTCTCATAAATATTCTAAGTAATCTGACCAAGCTTCATGCCAGATGTGATGGGATTTGTTAACATTACCTTCTATAATTGTTAATAGATAGGAGAAAAAAAGCTAATTTTTAAGTGAGATGTAGCACTGTAGGTAATAAAAAAAAAGAGAGTACAAAATCTTTTTATTATCCCTTTTTTTTCTTCTATTTATGATCACATTATTTATATTTTCTGATATTATGATAATCAGATGTATATGAGATGTTTAATCAGCAAAGTTTTAGATTAGAATCATGAGGAAATCAAGGGAAGGTGGTGGCACAATGTTTCAATTGGTACTATAAATTTCCTCAAACTTAATATTTCCTAAAGAATTTAATAAGTCGGAGATCACCTCAAAAATTTTCTTTTTTGCCTTAATATAACACACATCGAGTGAATCATATTTTAATTATTTTTTTACACTTTAGTTGATTTAATATTATGGACGTTTTGATAGTTCTTTTTTCTTTATAGTCTTTTTTATGCATTAAAAAACTGTTATTTTTTAAAAGCCTTATTTAAAAGAAAACTTAAATCCCCTTTCGAAAAATAGTCAACTCTTTTGATTATTTCTTTTATTTCATATTATGATAACTATGTGCCTAAGGTCAAGATTGACGCGGGACATTACATCAACTTGACATTTCGGACCCGGATACAACAGTCGCTAGCTCCCACGCTATCCGATATTGTACAAGATGGTGTTGCATAGCACAGAGCTGCTCCGAAAAGACGGGAACGGTTCTGCACCAACTTGTTCAATACCAATCTCCGTGTGGGTGACTATGCACATTCGGAATCGGATCAAATCGTACTGAAGCCTTGATCCACAATAGTTTCCTTATGCTCGTTCACGTCCAAAAGAAATCCTAAAACTAATGTTCTTCGTTTCAAACATGCACGAGGAAGATGAATGAGCATTAAGGCAACTGAATTCTTCTTTTCAATCTTTCTTCAGAATTGCTCGAGTATGTGTAGAACCTAATATCAAACTCCATAGCTTTTATAAAGTCCAAGCACTGGTCAAACTCCGGAAACAATAATATGCTCTTTCAGCAGTACTGAGTGTGTATATATATATATATAGAGAGAGAGAGAGAGAGTATTACATGTGCTTCATCACAGTGTTGACTCGCGATTTCCATAGAGGTGGGCATACACGACTTTGGTCCTGTAAACCAAAATGCTGCTGAAGATGACTGCAACAACGCAGAATCCTGACATCAACAGGGAAGAAAGAAAGAAACACGCAGTTCCGTCGCACTCGAGTGCCTTCTCCTCGCCCAGACTTGCTCCGGTGAGCGGCGAAGCCGAGTTGTGGTGCATGCGAGCCTGTCTTGATGCTTCGTAGTCGTACATGCCACTGACGATGACGCCGGAGAACACCAGCGAACCAGCTGGATTTGCCACCGTCAGAAAGTTGTACAGTGCTCCGAAGTTCTTCAGACCAAACAGCTCCGAGGCCGCCGCCGGCACGATCGACCAGTGAGCGCCGTATCCGAGCCCAATGAGCAGCGTCCCGACGTGCATCGCCCCCGGCCAAGCCAACGCAAAGCAAAGATGGCCTACTGCCATTAAGACTTGAGCTACTGCCAGTGCCGCAGGCCTCGGGTACGCGCGATCCCTGCTCAGATTCACAAGCGTAAGAGATGTAAGACCATAAAATTACGAGCGAAGCATTGTGGAATCTGAAGAGCAGCAACATTTCAAGAACTAATTGAAGAAAACAGCAGATGAGAAGAATTTTATTGCATTGACAGCAGCAAGTGCAATGGAGAAGGCATTACCTGACGATAACCTCAGACACATAGCCTCCTCCAATTCGTCCGAGGAAGTTCCATATGCTGATCATGGAGACGAAGATGTGAGTGTCCTCGTACCCCAGAGACTGGCTCATCTGCCCCAGGTTATCGATCACCGTCAACCCGGATCCTGACCCCAACAAGAGAGAGAAAAATAGCAGCCAAAAGTCTGCTTTGATCAGTGCTTGCAACAGGGTGAAGTCCTCCCCCCTGTGCGGACCTCTTCTCCTTCTCACCCTCACGGCTCCTTCTGCTGCAGCTTGGAAAAGCCTTGCCTGTAGCTGCACGATTCGCTTCTGCCTCTCCGATTCAGGGAGCGAGTCGACTTCCATGGGCTTCTCGTCTTCCACCTCACTCAAGATTACCTCTGAAGGCCTATCCGATCCATCTCTTTCTCCTTTCTGATGCTCTGGTAAGAGACACTCACGAGCGAGGTCAGGTTCGTCGGGATAGAAGGTCATGAGCACAGGTATTGCAACAGGGACTGTGAGAACAGAGAGCAGTATGAGTGTAAGCAAGATCGTAACAGCTGGGCTCAAGTCAACCATATCCTCGAGCAGCATGACACCCATTAAATAAGCAGCGAGGAGCAAGCAGACACTGTAGATGAAGGTGAAGCTCGAAGCATCGGAAGACCGCACTTGTTTGTGGCCTCCAACAGGTCTAACGATGAACATCAAGGCGATCACCACCATGGCTGGCCCAACTGCGAGCATAAAGATCAGAGCTGCGTGATCCGGTGTGTGTACGATGGCGTAGATTTGGGTTATAATGGCACCACTAAGGCCTGCAAATCCCTTCAGAATGCCCACGACGGGTCCCCTGTTCTTGGGGAAGTTCTGCACACAAGAAACTAGAGCAGCAGTATTGTAGTACGTCTCCCCATTGTTGCCAACAAAGATGAGGATGCACATCTGCATCAGGAACACCAAACATACATCAACTCGACACACCAGAAATCAACAAAAGCAGCAAGATCGATAAGAAATAAAGCATGGTACAGTTCCGGAACTGCAAGTGCAGAAGATTTCGGCTATCACAAGAACAGCATCAAAGAAATGGATCGATGAACGTAAACCGGCAAAGAGTTATTCAGATTATGTTCACCAGGAAGAACATGCGGATCGACTGAAGAATTCAGATAGGATCAAATTAACAATCATAAGATATGTTTGGCAGAAAGGATACCGAATCTGACTTACCACCCACAGAGGCAAAGCCGGCACTCGCCCTGTCACGACGAGCCAAACCAATCCGTAACCGATCAGATTCTGCAGCGCGCCGATGAGCAGAGCAGCCCAGAGGGGCAGGACCTCGCAGAGGGTGCCGGCCAGGAACCCGACGCTGTCACCGAGGTCCTTGGCCACTCCTAGGCCGGCGATCTGGCGCTGGTTGTATCCCAGGGAGCTCTTTATCACCGGTGAGATGCTGCCGAACAGGTAGCCGATCCCTGCCCAAGACTGCATCCACATTGCCGCCACAAACACCAGCCATCGGTTGTTCAACAAGGAGTGCAGCCTTCCGCGGAACCTGCTCATCGTCGCTCACCTCAGTAAGCTGAACGAATCGAACCAAAGATGAGACCTTTGGCCCTTATCAACGGTGCCTGGACCAGAGGCAGCAAGGGAAAATGATCGAGTCGGATGCTATCTTCCTTTTTCGTATTCAGATTAGTTATTCTTTTCTTTCCTCCTCGGTCATTGCATTTGATAGCTTCGGAAGAGAAGAAATCCGGGTGAGAAAAAAAAAAAAAGTTGGATCCTTTGCTTCGTTTTATAAGCTCGAACCTTTCCCTTTTTCTTCCTATTTTTCTACTTTGTTCGTGATCGAACAAAGAGTTCGCAATCGAGTAAAAAACAGAGGAAGTTTCGGAAAAAAGCTCTACTCAGAATATAATTCCTTTTTTCCTCTTCAACTATTTCATCGGAACTCGCTATATCTAATCCAACATTTCCAACTTATCTGTTTCACCAATTCCGAACCACTTCATCGTCGTTGCATCCGAAACGTGTTACCTCCTCCAGTTATAGCAACAGAGAGAGAGAGAGAGAGAGAGCATCTACTTGTCAGTGCATGCTTGAATTGACAAGAACAAGTTTGCCTGTGAGCTGTGGCGATATGATCCTTACACCGCTTGCTCCCTCTTGATTACATCGCACAAAGAAGCCACCTGCGGCTTCTATCCACGAAGACTAACATGCCTCGGCTACTGTGGTGTATGGAGCAAAGCAGTACCGCTGGAGTGAGTTGTGTGTAGAAGCTTGCGCAGCAACGAAGCTGTCTGTAGGGCACATTAATGGTCGAGGGATTCGGTACTTTCCTCGCTTCGTTCTCTCTAGCCTGGGTAAGACGTAAACGGAGAATAGCCAAAGCTATTTCTTGGTGAAGATGATGTCATGCACCCACACCCGGGTAAAGATGATGATGATTGATTGAGGTAGAATATGGCGGCGGAGAGATACGTCTTTGCATCAAATCACGAGGTGGTTCGGTGATGTTTGGCTTTAGCATCACAGGGTATGATCCACTGTATCGTTTTGGACTATTTGTCTGAGGATGACACACTAATGTTATCTCTTCGTGATCTTGGCAATCGAATTTTTGATTTATGTAAATGATTATCTTGTGATCATTTGATCATATTTTATTTATGTTATTTATTAAAAGAGATCCCGTTAGGATTTTTTTTTTCTCACACATCAATGAGACGATATTAAGTTGCAGATCATACTCACTATAAGCCATTTGATTACATCATTTGATTATTCTTATTCTATGTACATAAATATTTTCAATAAGCATCACTCTATTTTTCTCAACTTTACAGTATTCATTCCAATATTTGATCTTTGATGTGTAAGTCTATATCGATAAAACATTAGTTTTAGCGTATATATTTAGATTTAACTTACCATTTTTCAGTAAAATCGTAAGGATATACTCATCGTTCAAAGCGAATAATTTTGAAATTACACCAAATAGTATTATGAAAAGACATCCATAAAAATTGTGCCTGTTGTGGCCAACACCATGAAGACTCCGAACGAGTAGGACCAGAACACAAGTAACCCATCAAGTATTTAAATTGATTGATGTTTAGTACACATGTGTCGAATCATTGTTGCTATGGTCACATGAAATCTGGATCAGACACTTTTCATGGTTTGCATTAATCAGTACCACTAAATTAATTGCAGTAGAAATATGGTAGAACTCTTAATAATATGAAAGAAAATAGAAAGCAAGAATAATAATAATAATAACTATATAGTTATTGCGTTTTACAATCTCTTTCTGAGATCATAAATTGCTGGTAACAATCCATGGTCTTCTCCAAGCTGGATAGAACATATATGATCAATCAGCACTTTCACCAAATATCTCATTTTTAAGTTTCTTGATAATAGATTTTGATAGGGAATTTAGAAATAGATAATATATGTCATGTGATGACTTATTATATTTGGACAAGAGAAAAAAAAGTCAAACCAACATAATATTTATTATATATATAAATTAAAATAAAATGACTGGTACATCTTATATTCCCATTTGTGTAGGAATTCATGTCATGTAAATGTGATCAGAACATGGAAATTATGGCCAACAACAATTGATAATATATATCAATTTTTGCATAATTAATCTTTTAGACCAGCAGCCATCAGGAGGGTTGAAATCTTGAATGGACTAGAAGAAGACTGATACTGAATCAAATATAAGACAAGAGCATTAAAGGGATGGATTTCAAAGAAGATCAAAAGATCTAATTGGGATAGGATTCAAGATCAAGAATGTTGAACCATCTAATTAAATTTTCAAATGGAAAATTAGGATATAACTATGGTTATCATTTATAAAGCGAAAAAAAAGGAATGCAATAAATATCATACTTAATATTTTAATGCAAAAAAAGGAATTCAAGATCAAGAATGTTATCATTTATAGATAAATTTCGAGTTCACATCAGCAAATTAAGCTCATGGGTAAAACTGAGCTAATTATATTATTATCTCTTTATAATTATTTTTTTAATATTTTAATTTTTTTTTATATTTATTATTTTAATATTTTATTCTTAATAATTAAATCTATAATTAATTTGATAAAAATATAGGATAAGATATTATCCTAAATATGACATCCTAGTGACACCTCATGTCATTGATATCTTAATAATATATAATCGATACCTCATCAAAAAATTATTTTTAGTTAACAAAGAATTAGTAATGATCGACACCTCAACGATATATGATCGAGATGAACATAAATATTAAATAATTAAAGGATATTTACACTATATTAAATTTTGAACGAAGAAAATAATTATCAATATTAAATAATCGAGTATTTCAATACTCGAAAACCAAAGAAACGATTTGTTTGTCATTCTCCAGTAAAAGTAAAAGTGAGTTGCCAAAAAAATAAAAATGTTTTATTTATTTATTTATTTAAATCCTCTTAATAATTTCATTTGAGGAGGGGTGGCTCAGCTTTTGGCTGTGCGAATCATGTGAGGTTTAGTAGGAAACGATTCCATCGACTGGGTTCCACAAACAAGATCCTCCTGGACCCCATCTCATCCTGGCTCCTCAGGCCGCCACCTCAGCAAGAATCGGCGCACTTCGAACCATATGTAGAGAAACGTGGCTTCCACCCTACCAAGCATATCCATTAACCCCCTTCCCATAGTCGAATTATTCTTATTTTATTTGGTAGACGACCCCCTCCAATGCACCAATTATATATACCCGAGGTAGTCCATCTCTCCGACTCCTCCGCTCTTTGCGTTGGTGTTAGGATTCGTGCTTCTGATCCGATCCGGAGATGCGTGGCGGCGACCAGCAATCACGGCTCCTCTACGAACTCTGTGCCCTCCTCCTCGCCGCCCTCCACTCCTCTCCCCATGACGCCCCTGCCACCCTCTACCCGCCCGGGCCGGTGTCGCCAGCGGGGTTCGCGTCGTTCCTCCTCGGGGCGTCGCTGGCGATGATGCTGGGCGGGTCCCTGACGTTCTTGATCGGGTTCCTGCTGATGCCCTGGGTGATCGGCCTCTTGATGCTGCTGTATGTCGTCGAGATCGTCTCCAGCTTGTCCGGCTTGGGCAGGGCGATCGTCTGCCCGGATGCCCCCCTCATGGATCAAGGAAATGTCAGGTATATATCGCTTTCTTTCTATTCTTTTTCACATCTTTCTTTGTTTCTACGATTGACGGTGGTATCTCTTCTCATTTGCCTCTGTTCTGCCCAATTTGTTTGTCTCCGTTTCACTGTTTATAAGCTACGTCTTAAATTGGAAGTGTTCTGACCTTTGGTTTGATTGTTCCATAATATGTTCACTGAGGGTCTAAAATCCTCTTTTCGTATATGGATAGTGTTAGTGTCAATTTTGTTCGTCAACTGGAGATGATGAAGTTTATCCAATCTGTATTTTTGAATATAGTCGTATGAATCGGGAAGAGTTCCACTTTAAGATAAGGAATGATTTGAGTTCCATCACTTGAGGCGTTAGGATAAGGAGTTGCACTTTTAAGTCGTTAGGTGACTTGATCGGAGGTCAGTCATTTTGAGTTTGAAAAGGGTTCAGTCATCTGATCTCCGCTCGAGTCCTACAAAACTTGTGGTAAGGGCATGTCCAATAATACCCTTCTAAGTCAATTCGTGGGGTCAAAAATACCAAGGAGAGTTCCAGAGTTTAGAACATGGAACATGTATTTGTCATCGATTATAGAGTATTAAGTGTTTTAATGCGTATTTCATGCTGATATGGCACACTAGGATTTACTAGCTAATCGGATTCTATGTGTCGAATTCAGATTGACTGTGAAAAACTGACATATCACTTAGCGCTCCCATTGCATTTCTGGGTATGAGTTTATTTGTGCCGGAGTACAATATTTATCTCGGGATCCTGATTGTTATTGCTTGCATAAAAAATGGTTAAGAGGTGTCTCAAATGCTTTTGTCATGGGCAGATCCATCGTGCTCAAGAGATGCTAGTGCATCGATCACATCGAATGTATATGTATGTCCTAAGGGGACACATTGCATATTGTAGTTGCCTTTTTTAGTTATACTGAGTGCATTGGGCACTTTGGATTCTTTTGTTTAAGATGGACACATTAGGTGCAAGGAGATATTTTGCCCGATTATGACACATTGAGGTGCTCCAAATTCCTTTGTTCGAGATGGCCAAATTGGATCAATTTTGTCATCTCGAGTTGATGGCTATGCTATGGAATTCTGCAAATCTTATTGGAAGATATCGGGGATAGTTTCTATAGTACTTTCACTGTTTTTCATAAATATGTGATGTTGCTTGATGATTGGGTTAAAACTTTACTGATCTTTATGAATATATCAATGATTTTAGACCCATATCTTTGTGCAATGTGAATTAGAGAATCTTGACCATGCCATTGCACAAGGATCTAAAAGAATCCCAAATTTCCTCTTTGGTAAAGGGATGTTGCTTTGATGACCAAAATTGATACTAGCAAATAGAAAGAAACTTTTGATGGGTGAAGAGGAGGGTTTTGATCACTTAGGCCTCAAATGTGATATTTTTTTTCTTTTAAAGTTGTATAGCATTTTCCTTTTGATGGTGAAGAAATCTTGTAGGAGGTATTTGCATCTTGTTTTTTCACTGGTGGTCTTCTACAATCTATTCAAGAGCATTGAAGTCCCTGCGTAGAGCATGCATCTCCGGATACCATTTAGACGTAACTCTATCTGCAATCTTCTTGAGTAGGGGGGATAATCTTAACTGGATTGAAGGCAAAAGAAGAGGACAAATGTCAATAGTAATTGAGCTGACTATAACGTGTCATTTTATTTTTATGCTTTTATATGATCACAATTTGATCTTTAAAACTGTTCTGTATGACATCAAGATATTTTTAACGAAGAACTCTGATATAAGAGATTTTAGAAAAAAATAATGTGACTTTGTTCATAAAGGTGGTTATGACTCCCATAGGTATAGCATTAAACAAGTTATATAATACTGAGAAAATATAATGAAATAATAATTTAAATATTCCAATTATTAAGTATACTATAATGATTTCCACAATGATATGAAAAAAAATGTAGGAATGGGAGCATCATGACATTCAATGAATTAGTTGGTACTAAAAATGTCAAATATTGTAATGAAATTTCCATTGGTGAAAAGAATTTGCTACTTGAATCACAGAAGATGTTTTTTGACCAATAACTACGTGAACACATATTATATCTTATTGTGTATTGGAACCCATGGCTGTGGACTTGGATCCATTTCTATGAAACATATTCTTTACCACATGAAACCCTCGAGCATATGAAAAAACTGGAGAAATGCTTTCGTTGTTGCCGAATAAGAAGTCACTGTGCTTTAATTATCTCAATATTTGATCAGATTTAAGTATTTGATGGTTTTATAAATTTTAAACCTTATGTTTCCACAGTAAGTTTTTAAGATTACAAGGGATGAAACCAATTCCTGATTCTTCCTCTAGCGAATGCAATAACAAGTTATAAATGTACAGATTTGTGTTGGATCGGCACAGCATAAATAGGAAATTGATGGAATTTAATAGTTTTGAAATTTTATTATGAGTTAGCATCTAAAGCTTGTGATTCTAGGGCACACTTGCAAGAACCAAGGACTTGTAAGATGGCTGAAATATTTACAAATTGAACACAAGCAATAGGATCAGACTTCATGTTGTCTGGTATTAGGTGGACTAGGTAAATCAAGTCAAAATCTTGATAAAGTGGTTAATTCTGTCTTATTTTTTAAATTCATTGATGCAAGAAAATCCGTATCTCATAGGACAAAACCCCATGAATGACCCCACTGAAGAGAGAGCGCATCTACATATATCCACAATCTGAGGCAAAATAAGTAAAATATTCAAGCCGAGTAAATCTGGAAGAGATGAATAATTATGCTTACAGCATGAACGAAGCATCTTGCAAAAAATAGACCCACAGCCTGGGTTAAATATAGACAAATCCCTACGAAGGTAAATTTGGATCATCACAAAAGCAAGAAGAAACATTAAAAGGATTTATTGAGTAAAAAGATGCAAATGGTCACATTTCATTTGGTTTGACTTATGTGACAATGCTAATTACAGGAATCAGACATCATGAAATGTGATTGGCTGATCACCTTTTTGGTATCAGTAATTTATGCTTGATAGACAGTCAAGGCTGTTACTAAGTGATAATATTTAGTTGACGACAAGTAACACTGTGATGATTGCATTAGTGATGGCATGTGGATTATGTAATTGATAGTTCTGTGATTGGAGCTCTTTTTTGGGTACAATTTACTTGCTAGATTGTTGTAAGTGTCATCTTGGAGTACCTAATAAGAACCCAAAGTAACTGTTTTAGAGGGTGACTTGGTTAAGAGACTTGGTTTCTTTATAGAACTGTTGTGTTCTATAATCATCTGCACTGTTGTGTTGTTTGTTGAACTGCAAGTGGTACTTCAGGAGGATAAATGAGTTCAACCTTACATGTCTGTAGCTTCAGTTTAAATTGTGAATATTTAATGGCAGCACTAATATCAGGCCATCATACTGTTGTGCGACCACTTCTTTGAGGAGAAAAGAACAATATGTGCAGATTTTATAAAAATGATAGACATCGACATGGAGTAAATGATTGCAGTTTGTATTAATCAAGCAGTGTTTAGAATTGCCTAGGATTTGAGGCATAGATCACACTTCAGAAAACAGTCATTAAAGAAAAGGTCGGTGATGATTTATCGGTACAACTTTTTTGACTTCATGGTTACTAATGCATTGGCCTTTCATACGGGAAGGCTTGCGATTTCTTTGCCTGATCAGGGAAAGAGTTCTGCGTTCTTGTACTTTATTTATTTATCAATATTTTTCTCATGCATCTGATCTTCCTGATGATTTGGAATCATAATACAAGTAAAAGGATTATCAAAATGAAAATAATCAAATTTTCTTTTTGATCGAAAGGCTTTTTATTCAATAAAATAAGCATAGCTTGCACAAATGTCCTCTCGGCATGCATTTGTTTTCACATGTTGGCATTATTTGACTGCTGTGGCATTATTGTTTTTGGAATTCCCTAATTGTAATATATTTATAACGGACATTTTTTCTTTCTTGGGCAGATCAACTATTTTCGAAGCTGCCAATTGATTAGATTTAAAACGGCAACTGATTGTAGAATAGCCTCTCTTAGTTCCTGCTAGTTATTGCTGGGCAAGCATGGATGTGATCTGTACAAATCGAAACCAGTCATAGTATCTGCTCTGCCTGGGCTGATATATTTGTCCTTGTGTTCTCTTAACTACCATGTAACTGCTATTGCTCCTTTGCTCTTTTTTTTTTGGAAAACCACTTCTGCACTAGTTGGTATGTAAAAAGTTGCACCTTTTTTTTTGGTTTGGAAAGGAAATCTATTAAAGCTTAGGCAATCAAACTTTCTACCCTTGGGTTCATCACAAATTAATTAACCTATTATGTGCATCTTGGTTCGAACTATAATGCCCATGAACAAAAAGGTTTTTGGGTACTTGAATAGTTAGTCTTCTTACAAAAACTGATTCATTCTATATCCTTGATGATATACCTGACACTTAAAAAAGTAAATGATTCAAGATTAAAAGATCCATCACAATGGTTGTTAGTTATATTTGCAAAACCTTGCTAGTTGAATAGTCTCCTGAGTGAGTATACATCAACTCCCTTCAAGCTTGTGAAGAACTCATAGATAGTCATCAAGGGTTTTCACACTGGTGTAATGGTTGCGATGGTGGTTCTCATTCCGGTTTATCTATCGAAAGTTCCCAAAGAACATTAGCTACAGAAACCAAGAACACCTCTTTCTCAATACTATCATTCCTTGAGCTTTCCACCAACTAGTGTCCAATATACCAATTATCAAAATCATTAGTGTCTAGGTGTAGAAAATTTGCTAATTTATCCCACAATTGTCTTGCAAAATGACACTGAAAAGGATATGGTCTTGCAGATAGGGCATATTAGTAGTATTTGTGAGCAAAGAATGCTAGCAATCAATATAATATGAAATAGGTAACATATTCCACATTATCTTCCATATGAATATTTTAATCTTGGGGGTAAACCTTTACGTTCCACAGCATCATCCACCTAACTTAACTGGTGATCACTCACGTCTTGGGATCTCTCTATTTATTTCTATTTATGATAAGATTGGTAAGGGATTCATATTCAAGAAGAATCATCCTAAGGTTATCATGAGTGTTAATATTCCCTTTGAAAGCAATAAAAAGATAGGGAAGTAATGTTAGTCTAACTAACACTATTATAGGCTTTAGAGATGTCAAGTTTGAAGATAACAGGAGGGATTTTGTTGTGCGACTTGAATAGACTATATGCTAACTTATTAGCAATAAGAACGTTATCATGAATATTTTTGTTAGAGATAAAAATATATGAGGTTTAGTCAATAAGTTTATCAAGTAGGGGTGATTTTATTCTATTAGCAAGTACCTTAGAATTTTATAGAATCATATTGCATATGACAATAGGTATAAACTCAATTTTGAAGTAATTGACTTTTTTTTTTTTTTAAGTATAAAGACAAGATAAGTTCTACCCAAGCATTCGAATGATTAAGATGGAGCCACTCTCTTGAAAATTGAAAACCACAAGAAGGGAGTTCTTGATTTTATACAAAAAGCTAAAGTAAAATTTAATATTAAAACCATTAAGGCGTTTAGCTTCGTTACAATTGAGATGGTTGGGTTGAGGATACTTTAAACAAAGAAGTTTGAGATATCCTTTTATTCGATGATAAGTTGGCTCTCATAGTTAAGAATGGAATGAATAAAGTTTTTATGTTTTATATTCTATTAGTGAGGGCCCATCCATCTTACGTGAGTGATGACACCTGCGATATAATATGTATTTTTTTACTATATATATATATATATATATATATATATATATATTAAACAAAGAAGTTTGAGATGTTCTTTTATTGATAAGTTTGGCCCTCACTATTGAGAATGTAGTGAATAAAGTTTTTATGTTTTATATTCTATTAGTGAGGGCCTTTACGTGAGTGATGACACGTACGACATAATATGTATTTATTTACTATATATATATATATATATATTAAACAAAGAAGTTTGAGATGTCCTTTTATTGATAAGTTTGGTCCTCACTATTGAGAATGGAGCGAATAAAGTTTTTATATTTTATATTCTATTAGTGAGGGCCCAACCATCTTACGTGAGTGATGACACGTGCGACATAATATGTATTTTTTTTATTATATATATATATATATATATATATATATTAAACAAAGAAGTTTGAGATGTTCTTTTATTGATAAGTTTGGCCCTCA